CACCCTGTTATTCATGATCAACTCGGTGAAATTCCCTAATTATTTTTCAATATATTCATCCTTCGCTCCTCAACGCTGTCTTGAAAATTCAGTTCGCTATCATGACGGGTGTCATAGTTATTAATTCAGGAACTTACCATTTGCATGAAGAGTTGAAGAGACTTGTTCACTTACATTCGCATAGTGGCCGATATTTTTCACAAATAGTGAAACGTGAGAATGTGGAGACGAAGATAAGTTTAGTATTCATATACAGGGTGAACATTAGATATTCAATAACAATAGCAGATATATGAATTCAATAATATTAATATAATGTACCTACAGATAGTTAGGCGAATTTCGTTGGTATACAAGCTCTGCCAAAATGAAGAACGAACAATACCTAGGAGATGGGAGAATGATTCGGTCTTTCACGCTTCCGTTTCTAATAGGGAGAGTTGAATCCTGGAATCGACAGATTTTTTCACATTTGTTTTCCACTCAGAATCAGGCGTTTCCATCATTTTCATATTTGCTTGCTATCAGTAATTATTATAATATCATTAGTTTCATATTCATATCACATTCCAATGATATAATTCAATACGTATATATGATGGTGAAATAGAAAATAATCCAATAATGATAATAATAAACTATAGACTTGAAGTTATGTGCCCGACAGGCGACAGGGTTTTCTTATTGTGTGAGGACCGTAGCGCTGCTACGGGGGAGGTGGATCGTGTGGATTCGGTTAAGGCTGTTCCTATAGTCACCTTTAGTGATTAGTGATGTCCCGTACCGGGGCCTCATACACGATAGGGCGAGTCCAACTATCCCAGCAGCCAGAATTGAATCTGGAACATATATGTATGAGTTGTATATTGTAACTCATGTGCCGTATATGCAGTTAGCTCCGGAATGGTGGATTGCATTGATGAATGGGCCTTCATAGATCATTTATGTTACACTTGATCTCTACATTCTCACGTTTCACTATTTGTGAAAAATCTCGGCCACTTGACGAATGTAAATGAACAAGTTTTTGCAAGTCTTCATAAATTGATGAACAATAAATTCCACAAAGGGACTTTTTCAAGTTACAACACCCAATCTGAAATCAACAATTAGTAGCCGCGTGACAAGTTCAGTATTTTTTTGTCATTATGTCCCATACAACACCTTTTCATATTTATCGCTGCTATTTCGGAAACATCCAGTATAATAATAAATAATAATAATAAATAAATTTATTCACAAATAATAATATAGATAGGTACAAGATAATTTTAAATTGAAGTAGTGAACAAATCAGAAACCACTAAATAATAGGATTATTTATATTACACCATCATACGTATTGAATTATATCATTTGAATGTGATATGAATATGAAACTAATGATATTATAATAATTACTGATAGCAAGCAAATATGAAAATGATGGAAACGCCTGATTCTGAGTAGAAAACAAATGTGAAAAAATCTGTCGATTCCAGGATTCAATTCTCCCTATTAGAAATGGAAGCGTGAAAGACCGAATCATTCTCCCATCTCCTAGGTATTGTTCGTTCTTCATTTTGGCAGAGCTTGTATACCAACGAAATTCGCCTAACTATCTGTAGGTACATTATATTAATATTATTGAATTCATATATCTGCTATTGTTATTGAATATCTAATGTTCACCCTGTATATGAATACTAAACTTATCTTCGTCTCCACATTCTCACGTTTCACTATTTGTGAAAAATATCGACCACTATGCGAATGTAAGTGAACAAGTCTCTTCAACTCTTCATGCAAATGGTAAGTTCCTGAATTAATAACTATGACACCCGTCATGATAGCGAACTGAATTTTCAAGACAGCGTTGAGGAGCGAAGGATGAATATATTGAAAAATAATTAGGGAATTTCACCGAGTTGATCATGAATAACAGGGTGATTTCAAAAAACACGATTTTTTTTCATTTTCATCATCGAAAATCTTCATGATCACCCTATATATCTCAACGAAATCATGTTCATACGGTATCAGCTATCTTGGGAGGTTAATAATTCACTCGAATATACAGGATGTGTATGAATAAATCGGTCTTAGGTGTGACCAATTTTTCAAATCACCCTGTATGAAATGTATGAATTGTGATTCATGATGGAATGAGAATAGAATATTGCATGCCTAAATTATTTTTTCGATATTTCATTATCACATCGAATTTTCAGACTTCACTTTAATGTTTATATGTTTCACTCTGTAAACAATTACATCATCTGAACCATCTGAATTATGTTGAGTAATATGGAGGTTCGTCAATGATATGAGCGAAGAAAATTGTACTTGGCATCTTTGAATTTCGAGAAAATAATTAAACGCCCTGTATCTCAGAATCTGTTCATCATAGAACTTTACGATCCTGCAGGCTCAATCAGTTCATCGAATTCTACAACATACTGAAAATTCAGAAAATTTCACCGAGAACCATTTTACGTACTAAAAGTGCGGGGTCCTTTCCATTGTCAACATAATTAGATTGTGACTTTCTGCGAAGTAAAGGTCATTGAAACTCCAATGGAAACTCAAGTATTTTCACTTGTTAAAAAATTTCCGGAAAATAATTTAACATCGTGCGGTATTCGGTAAAAAAATACACACCAGATTGTATTTGAAAATTAAATAATTTTGGAATTCATTTATTTATTGGCGTCGCAGTTTCGGCACCAATAGAATCCAAGCTTACATATTCCTGATTCCTACATATTGCAGTTGCATGGAGATAGCAGTTTAGAATGTTAGATATTACAGTCTTCCATTTTATTGTCACAAACTGTAGGCGGGGGTTGCCTAAGTTGATGTGCTCTAAATCAACTTCAAAAATGAGAATAAGAAAATAAGCCGACAACGATTTCAACAAAACATATTCAAACATTTATTCTTTGAATGAATAACAATCAATAGAAACTCAACTTAAGGGCGCCGTACATTATGCTATTTCTCGGCAAGTTTGAGGCAATGCAATTTTCTCGCAATTTCCGCAATTGATTGCAAGTCGCCGTACATTAAGATATTTCTGAGATAGTTCTGTCATATTTTCTTGTTCATATTCACTATTTTCAGGTTTTTTGAGCCTTCAATGTACTTTTTGAGGTTATTTGGTGTTTCAGGCCACGTTATGGAGAGAATTTGTATTTTATCAAGATGCTACGATGAATATTACTGAAAATTTCACTAAACTTGCGTTGAAATTGCAGGAAAAATAGAACTGGTTCTATTATGAAACTTGCATGAAACTTGCGGTGAAATATCATAGACGCATGCGCATTGTTCGATTCAAAATTGCATTGCACCGAACTTGCTTGTAAATAGCATAATGTACGGCGCCCTTTACCCTATATGTTAATTATAAAGCTAATATTGCTGTTCTGTCCCGAACTCCGACGGTTCGGGCACAGTATAGTAAATGATCAAATCAATGAATGTTCTATGAATGATTTTATATGATCTAGCTATATTTTTGTAAACGTGACAGTGAGGAAGTCATGAGGATATTCTTGGTTTGTTGAAGTCATTGGCATGCCTGTGGTTATGTTCAACTAATAATCGAAAGTTCGTGGTTTAATACTTTTGGAATTAATAAACAAAGACGTGAAAATTATATTATCCTGTCATTGAAACATCCAAAAATTTCCAATTTTAATTCGTTGTTGGATACGAGATCATCGTCGCTTTCTTGGAAATTTTCAGTCTGTTCAGCTTCTATTCAATCAATGAAGGTGAATCAACTTCGTTCACTCCGAACGATCGGTTTCACACGAAAATCCTAATCATTGCCTACCGGGAACTCATACGGATTGATATCCAACGCTCGACAGGTGCGCTGCACCTTTATCGGGCGTTATGAATGACCCCAGGTGGACGGGTCATTCGTCTAGCAAGTATCTAAGAAAGTGGCCCTTCAGGTATTTTGTCACAGAACAGATACACTCCTTTAGCAGTTGAGGCCCCGTTCATATGTATGTATAATCTCCTGGGTCCAATGAGATATTTCGACAATCTGACCACTTTCGCCGAAATGTCCAAAAAGCTGTTTCGGTGTTATGACCTCTTTCGGCAATGTGACCAAAGAATTATTTAGTCAATTTGAATACTTACGGCTTAAGGGAACATTAAAAAAATATAAAATATATTTGCGAACAGACGAAAAAGATCTTTCGCTAGAGTTGAAAAACTATAGGGTGTTTCATAAAAAAAATCATTTGGACTCTCTTGTTCAATAAGTGCCAAATGAAACCCTACAACTTTCATATATGAAGTTTTTTTTACTTCGTATAGTTGAATCTGTACTTAAGTAGGTAGGGGTCAAAATATAAGGAGACACCCTGTACTACCGATACTAGTTATGCCTATGCCTATATTCTGTTGTACGGTTTTAATCAATTCATGAATTGTTGGTGTTTTGTTCAATTCAAATGGCACACGATTATGGAAACGAAGAACTAGTAAACATAATATTTATTTTCGGCTGCAGCTGTATTTTGGTAGTGTCAAAACAATGCAGCTGCAGCATGTCGTTTGTACGCGAATAGGTTCTGTTTACGAAATCATCCGGCTCCGCGGATGTTCGTTAATTCAGTTATTAGATTCCACAACAAGTTATTTGAAGGAACAAGGAGGTCACGCTGGACGTATGAATAATTTTGGATTTTTTTTTGGAACTGGATGCATTCCTCAAAATCTAATATTCATAACTCATTCTGCAACTTTTATGTGGGCAAGTTTTGGTAAATTGACTTCTCTCTTCTGAAAGCTGTTATTGTCTCATGTTTCTGGCTATTATAGAACCCGAGCAATCGGACTCTGACACACTATTGCCCCACTCTGTATACATCAAATATTTCAACTAAATTTTTATTGAACATCACTCATTGGAAAGAGTACTGACATACTTGTGATTTATTCATTACTATTACATACTGCCGTGTGAATACAATTACTAAGTAGCCTTTTTTTTCTAGGTTGAACAATTTTGTTTAACATCCCCCTTCGATAATAAGTCATGGGAAATGATGGACGAAATGATAAACAATGCCGAAGAATTTTACAAATCCCTAGAAATTCCTTACCGAGTGGTTAACATTGTATCAGGAGCATTGAATAATGCGGCAGCAAAAAAATTGGATCTAGAAGCATGGTTCCCAGGATCTGGAGCATTCCGGGAATTAGTATCATGCAGCAATTGCCTAGAATATCAGGCTAGACGATTGCTAGTCAGATACGGTCAAACGAAAAAAATGAATGCCACAACGGACTATGTGCATATGTTGAATGCCACCATGTGTGCGGTTACCAGAGTGATCTGTGCTATCTTGGAAAATAATCAGACCGAAACCGGTATTGCAGTACCTACTGCCCTTAAGAGTTTCTTACCGGAAGAGTATCAGAATGAAATCCCATTTGTGAAGCCTGCGCCCATAGATGTGGAAAAGGATTCCAAGAAGGCAAAGAAACAAAAAGATGGCATGAAAAAAGGGGGTGGAGAAGAATAATGTGATTTAGTTAAATTGTATTTGAATTATTTTATTTGCTAGGGTTTTTCAAAAATAACATACTATTGGCATGTTTCTCTTCTTGATCGCTTTAAAAATCAAATAAAGAGCTGATTTTATTATTATATTATGTAAGTACACCAGTGATTTATTAAACGAGAAAGATTTTCAAATATACGTCATCAGATTCATAAGAAATCATGTTCATTTACTCACCTATTTCTACTCAATTGCTCACCTTTTCACTGTCGTAATAGTAGTAGTAATATTTTTTTAAAGCAAGATAGATGATAGATAGGTTGTTTGACTAAAAATATATCGATTACTTCACAGTAACGTCATATTGAAAACTAATGTCTACTTGTGTTGTGATATGTCATCGAAGAGGGAATTTTTCTCTCCATCAAATAACGAAGAAATATCTACAGGGTTTCATTCAAAATTCTTGAGTTAGGTATTTTACCTGTGAAATCGGAAGTGATATTCAATTGTGTCTTCATGGAAAATATGGTTTTCAAGGACCTATTTCTCTGGTCGAAATGTGAAAAGTAATATAAATAACAACTGAGTGACACCCTGCAGCCAATGATTTCGTTATCTCATATACTGATTTACACAAATATATGTGTACTTATACCGGGTGACACAGGAGACATGTAGCAGCCTGTAGTTTTTTTATTTAGAGAGATAAAATTTTGAAATTCACAGGGGGTATATAATAAATGGTAGCGCACTTTACGAACTTAACGACAATTGTTTTCAACCACCTGTTCTGTGTCTTTTTTTAAATGTCACCCTGTACATTTATTTAGTTTATCTTTTTCGCCTTGAAATTCTCTATTCAACCATGTATTACAAAGTGGCATTTATTTCTTAATTCGCTGTTGAATTGTTTTTTATTCAAAAAGAATAAGTTGGCTGTGACATGAATTCGATGATATAACGACACTTGGTAGGCTTTGAAATCTAAATATCATTAGTGAACCGATATTATTCAAAATGTTTTGATATTCTGATCAATGTCTGCAGGTTGTCGATAGCTTGTTTGCGTCAAGATGAAAACCTTCGAAAATAACTCATGATATTGAGGAATCTAAGATAGGAACATATTTTTTCGAATTCAGCTACTCGTACAGAAACTATCTGTCTTTTATTTTCGCCATGTACCTATCACATGATCATCCCATTTGAAATAATAAAACTGAGATTGTTTCTCTAATACGATGATCCACAGGGCTATCAGTCTATTTTTTCATAATTTTTTCACTCAGTAGGCGGTGTACCTACACAAAATGTTTTATGTGTTTGAGAGTTAATCGATTGCATCAATAATTTTTCTACTTCATTTGTGTGTTGATTGAAATTGCATATTAACAACACTTTTTCGTTTCTTATGAATACATTTTTCGTCTCTATTGATAATATGCAATTCTAATCAACACACAAATGAAGAAGAAAAATTATTGATGCAATCGATTAACTGTCAAACACATCAAACATGTTGTGTAGGTATACCGCCTACTAAGTGAAATAATTATGAAAAAATATACTGATAGCCCTATATGTATTTAGATCTAAAAGATCAACCGTGCAGGCAGTAGCTTGTTTCGTGAGAGAAATAGTCGAGGGCCTTGAAGAAGGTCAACTGACAGCTGCTACGCTATGTGACTTAAGCAAGGCCTTTGATTGTGTGTCCCACAGCATTTTATTGGAAAAATTAAACTTTTATGGTATAAGGGGTGTAGCCCAAAATATTTTCAAATCTTACTTGAGTGGAAGAATCCAGTGTGTAATGCGAGGGGAAAATTCTTCTGATTTCGCGGAAATCAAAAATGGTGTACCACAGGGCTCAGTTTTGGGGCCTCTCTTGTTTATTGTGTATATAAACGATCTACCAATGCATATAGAACCAAACAGATGTATTCTATTTGCAGATGATGCGACGATATGTAACTCAAACAAGAACAATACTGACTTACAGTCTGAAAATGTGGAAATCTTGAACAATGCCGAAGAATGGTTTATACCGAATAAACTGAAACTAAATTCCAATAAAACACAAAAAATTATTTTCTCGTCTGACCCGAAGGTTAGCAAAGGATCTTCTGTAAATTTATTGGGGATAACCATTGATGACTCACTAAAATGGGGTCCTCACATTGAAAAATTATGCAGAAAATTGTCCTGTCAATTATTCCTGATACGTCAACTTAAGAAGATTTTGAGTAAAGAAGTATTGTTAACGTCTTACTTTTCACTCTTTCATGCCCATCTCACCTATGTAACGTTGCTTTGGGGAAACTCAACTAAATCTGTGAAAGCATTTATTCTACAAAAAAAGGCAATCAGAACCTTGGCTAACCTGCGGTACACAGATCACTGTAAGCCATATTTCAAACTCTTCCGAATAATGCCACTCCCATGCTTATATATTTTCAGCTCTCTACTTGAAATTCACAAAAATCAGAATGCATTCGAGTCACATGCCGACAATCACGACTATAATACAAGAAATGGTAAACTGTTGAAGGCGCCAAAGTTCAAACTTAGGGTGACTTCTAACAACTCTTTAGATTTTCGACTCTTCAACAAACTACCAACAAATGTAAAAAACCTAAGCTGTCAGCGATTCAAAAAGGTATTGAAAGAGTATCTACTTTCACACTGTTTCTACTCTGTTGCCGACTACATGGAGGCACCACTAGATTTTTTCGATAGTCACAATCTTATATCGTGAACAAGTTATTTACTGTGTTTTTTATTATGTTTATTTTAATATTCGTTGTGACTGTGGGTTATACCATTATACTTTGTGTGTTATTATTATTTAAATTTTCATCTGTAGTCTTATACTGTTCGTTTGTCACTATAGTTGAAAATATTTGTTTTTTACCTATCTATCTCCACATGACTTGCTACAAACATTACCTTTCAAATAAACGTTATCTATCTATCTATCTATCTATGGATCATCGTATAAGAGGAACAATTTCAGTTTTATTATTCCAAATGGGAAGATCATGTGATAGGTACATGGCGAAAATAAAAGACAGATAGTTTCTGTACGAGTAGGTAGCTGAATTCGAAAAAATATGTTCCTATCTTAGATTCCTCAATATCATGAGTTATTGTCGAAGGTTTTCGTCTTTACTCAAACAAGATATTGACAACCTGCAAACATTGATCAGAATATCAAAACATTTTAAATAATATCGGTTTACTAATAATGTTTAAATTTCAAAGCCTACCAAGTGTCGATATATCATCGAATTCATATCACAGCCAAGTTATTCTTTTTGAATAAAAAGCAATTCAACAGCAAATTAAGAAAAAAATGCCACTTTGTGATACATGATTGGATAGAGAATTTCAAGGCGAAAAATATAGACTAAAGAAATGTACAGAGTGACATTTGAAAAAAAAAGTTGGAGTCACTTCCGGTCAAACAGGTGGTTGAAAAAAATTGTCGTTAAGTTCGTAAAGTGCGCTACCATTTATTATATACTCCCTGTGAATTTCAAAATTTTATCTCTTCAAATGAAAAAACTACAGGCTGCTACATGTCTCCTGTGTCATCCGGTATAGCAGATCCTTTTTACCAAGATTCGTAGGTAATAATTATCAACGATACCAACAACAAGACGTTTTGCAGTTAATTGAAATAGTCATGAAAATTTTTGAGGCCAGGATTCTCTAACTAAATGTATCTTTGAGCGGTGTGGGCTCTTTATCATAAGGAATTCTAGTCATTATTAAATAAGTCAACTTTCCATCGAAAAGAGATTACACCTCATGTCTGAACCCAAGCAGAAACGTAAATTATGAGTTGCCTTCAACAAAGAATGAGAAAACTGCAACTTATATTCTTATATCTTCAACATGAGTGGAAAAGAGACGCCGCCTTGAAAACGGTCACGTGGCACACAATCATTGTTGAATACCTGTTACAAAGCTCTGAATGAATTTATAAGATAGACTGATACGACTGACGCAGATTGAAATATTGAGTTACTTATACCGGGTCGTCCAATTAAGACTATCCACCCTCGATATCCCTCAGAAAAATGATTTTACAAAAAAATGAAATTTGGAGGGGGACACCGTTTGACGCAAAATAAATATTCTTTACTTCAACCCTCTGTTCCCCAAAGCAACCCCCTTCAATAATTTAAATGAGGAATAAGGGTCGTGTTATACATAATCACAAAGGTAATTTGATTCTGACACTAGCTGTGCAAAGTTTTTTGAATTCCCACAAGGCGTTCTCGAGATATTCGAGTTCAAATACTATGTTTTTAATTGCCATCAAATGAATGTACGGAATGGATGATTGAATAGGTATCCACAATAAATGTTCAAAATTACCTTCATTAGCTCCAGAAAGTGTGCTATTTGCAAATTTCTCTTGCACATTTGAAAATGTTTATCTGGCATTCGATCCTTATTCATCTTTCCAAATCGTTCAGACATGTGGGTTTGGTTTCATAGATGAGGGATTTCAAATTACTCTGTAGAAAGAAATTATTCGGTGCCAAGTTCGGCAAACGTGCTGTCCATTCTATTGGTCCTCTAATATCTATCCATTTGTTCGAAACATTTCGGGATAGCCATTTTCTCACGGATCTCGATGATGATGGTAATGGAAATCAGTTGGCAGTTGAGAGAATGGCTACCGCAAAATTTCCCAAACAAAGGGATAGGTTGTAGATGACCAATAAAATGGCCAGCTCGCTCGCCGGACTCAATGATTTTTTTGGGGCCATTCGTAATCCGTTATTTATTGAACGGTATCTACTGATCTGGACGAGAAGGAAAGAAGAATAAGGGTAGAATGCCAGGCAATAATTAGAGAACCATTTCAAAGTGAAAGGAATTTGCAAATAGATGCTATCACTGGCTGAGAGTCAATTGAGCTAATTTTGAACATTTGTTGTGGATAACCATTCAATAATTCATTCCGTACCTACACAAATACTCACAATTGAAGAACATACCATTTGAATTCCAATATCTCGAGAACGCCATGTTGGAATTCAAAATACTTTGCACTGCTAGTGTCAGAATTAAATTATCTTCATTTTTTCTAGTTTTCAGCCAGTATAAATATCGATTACGTCGGACTTGAACATTGAACTAAAGTGTTTTCAGGCCAGAAATTCTAACGATATTTAGTGGTGGTGGTAGTTATGCCGTTGATTCCAATCATTTAAACGTCACAAAGAAATATTCAAGAATACTCAAATAATGTATTCTCAGGACTCAACTAGTTCTAGGTAGAGTTCCTTAATGCACTTGACACTGCTGTTTTGATGTTTTTGTATATCAGCCAGATAACGAACACTATGGCTACGTTCAGCGGCAGGTCTGGACCACAACAAGCATAGGAGTTCTGAACGACATCGGTCCATGGATTTGTATCTGAATATAGTATCTGTCAAAGTTTTCAAGAACTAATTTTCCAATTGATTTATCGTACCATTTTTGTGTGAGGAAGTTAGGAATATGCTAGAAGCATTTGTCTAGAGTGAATAGATCAAATAGTGACGACAATAGACCTCCAGATGGCTGCCGTTTCCGGAATGTCATTCGTGATCAAGTCACTGAAAAGTTAAAAATCCGAAGGGTATCTCCCATGCAGTTATGAATTTGCGCCTTCGAAGTGCCCACCTGTTGTTAGGTCAAAATTCGGATTCTAATAGTAAATATCCAAGGTACTGACGTATAGAATTTCATGTCTGATCGTCGGATATTTCGTGCCCAAAGAGCAAAAAACAGAGACACAGCATTGACAAAGTGAAATAAAATGAGTATAACAGTATGGAGAAAACAAGACAGGTGGATGTGCCTCCATATTAGAAAAGTGTACCACTATTGTCGTCACTCCATTCATAAAGTCAATCTACCTTCATCTAAGGAAAACATATTCTTGTCCTTGTCTGACGAAACATATGATAGATAGATAAATTTATTTCAACAGAGTATTCTATAATCATTCACAAAAGTGGCAGAATATTTTTGTCTGAGAAATACGTCAAGAAGAACTTGTAGAATTATCAATAGGTTAATACATGAATTTAAAAATGATATGAAACATTCACATGAGTTTATGGATATAAGTTTCAAACACTATTAAAACAATTTAAAATAAGTGACAAATTTCACAAGTAGATTTAAACAGACATAAGTACATACCTTTTCAATTAATACATAATATATACACATAGATAGCATGGTTTCGAATAAAAATTTCATTCATGGGTTCCTACAGGCCAGAAAATCATTCCTCGACACTGTAGGGCTAAGTTGCATAGAAATTCCTTAACAGACCTCAGAAATCTGTCAGCAACCACAATATCTTGTACATCTTGTGGGAGGTTATTATAAAATTTCATTGCACTATAGATAGTACTGCGTTCATAAATGCATTTGCATGGATGGGATATGAGAAGCCTTTCTTTTGTCTTGTATCATAGATTTGTGTTTTCCGATGTGTGTTGAAATGTTCTGGATGATTGATAATGAATTTAATAAGCTCAAAGATATAAATTGCTGATACAGTCAGGAGTTTTTTTGACTTGAAAATTCCTCTACAGGAATCTCTTCTATCTATATTGTAAAGTATCCTGATAATTTTTTTCTGACATAGAAAAACTCTGTTCAGCCCATGACTTGAGCCTCAGATGATTATTTATTCCTAGTCTCATAGCAGAGAAAAAAATTTGCATAATATACTGTTATCAGTGCTTCAGGGTCAACATTTTTTTTCAGAACTCTCATGGCATATGTTATCGAGGATAGTTTATTGCATAGATTGTCTATTTGACTAGTCCAACTTAAAGTGTCGTCAATGTATATACCTAGAAACTTGACTGAAGTGTACAAATAATCTTTTGATTGTCTATAATTATGTTTTTTGGTGTTTCTATATTGTTGTTCATTTTGAACATGATACAATCTGTTTTTCCATCGTTCAAAACTAACTTATTCTCTTTTTTTTGGATTTTTCTATTATTTCTATTATTATTTCTAATTCACAAAAAACGTCAAAACAGCAATGTCAGTACATTGGGGAACTCTAGTTCTAGGTAATAACTCCCATTCAATGATTACTTGATTCTTTCAATGCCTTAGAATTAGATAAAGATGACATTTTCTGTTTAGTAAAAAGGAAAGGAACTTGAAACATATCAATCTTGTCAAAAATCAATTTATTTGTTTTCAAAATCAATTACAAACACATGCTGTACAATAATCATTATTTACAACCTGAGGTTTATGTACAGTCTTCGAGTTAAAAAAAAAACGGCAGTCTCCACCAAACAATAAATAAACACTCATTTAACTCACATCAAACGTCGATTTCTCCGGATCTCCGGACTGTTATAAAAGCTGCTGGCGTCCCCATAAATAGGTTCTCGAGCACTGGTGGCGGTAGCGCAGCAAGAGCAATTGAACCGATTGCAGTTCGTGTGACTGCGATTGGGACTACCGGGCGAAATGTTCGGGGTTATCCTTGTCATGTTGGCGGGGTTCATGGCGGCGCATCGATGAGGCGATTGGCCAGGAGTCGAGATTTGGCCGGCCGATAGCATGGAACGGGTAGGGTTCACGTTGACGTTGACCACAGGCTGCATATAGTTGGAATAGACTGTGGAACATAGAAAATTAACAGGGCGAATGAATTAAGGGTGAAAAATATCGTGCTTTGAGAAGTTTTTGCCAACAGGTATTATCCGGCGTAATTTCATGTAATGTCATTTGCAGTTTTCTTTATTTATCAATCCAAAAAAATAGAAATTTCGTCTCAGAATATGTAGAATATGTGAATAAGTTCTGACACATGTCACATGATTACTGGTATGACGTACAACTGAACAAAATTTCGATGAATGAGAGGCATAAAGTGTGGTCAGATGACAAGTTGTCAAAAAATGTATTTAGAAAACTTACATTTCATAATCATCAGAGCTGGGCAGTACTCGAGTACAAGTACTCAAATATTGTACTCTGAGTACATTTTGTGTACTCAGTACCCAGTACCCGAGTACATTTTCAATATAGTACCCGGTACTCGTACCCGTAGCATTTCGGGAAAAGTACCCGGTACCCGCGTTTATTAAACGAGTACATTTTCCGGGTACTTTTTGCAAGAATAAACTTGTCTGTGCATATGCGAGTGCAACACGGGAAACCGCTGTTATATGTTATATCATCATTATCAGTCAGCACTTCAATCAGAACCAAACGCGGAGTTTTTGTTTTTTACACTGTGTAACAGTTATAGTCAAGTGTTTTTTGTATCGTTTCTGTTGTTTTCTTAAGAGGGCGCATCAGTCAAAACTGCCATGCAGAGGTGAGTTTGGTACCAAATCATTAATAAACTATAAGTGTAAACGCAAAAGTGGTTGGTACATATTAAAGACGAAGGTTGAGAATAGGATATGAAGGAATTTCCCAGCGAAATTCGATTTGTGTAAAAAAATATATGGTAATGAAAAACAATAACATTGACAACGTTTGTGTAACAGAATCGAATAAAAACCTGGCATACCCTAAGTTAGCAATTCAATAAATTTTTGATGAAATAATCAGCTTCTGGAACATTGTCGTTTGGGAATGTATTGTGCGTAAAATTAATTCTGACGTTTCTGCATCTATTTTCAATATCGCCATATTGTTAGCGAGGTTTCGACAGTGGCAGAGTAGTTCAGCTATTGTCTTTCAGAGGGCTACACAGTGAAACTACCGTGCTGCGCTCCTTCAAGAACTAATACAAACATTACAGTTCTCTTTTTATTCATTTCTTCTTTCTGGGTCTGGGGAACAGTGTTGCCAATAAGGCGCTTTTCAACTTCGTTTTGCGTCATTGCGATTTTTTGTAAATAATTGCGCTTTTTTTTCTTTTTATAGTCTATCGAGTGTATTGCATAACTGACTCTGTTGATTGATAATATTAATCTTATATATAAAATTCAACTGGCCCTGTCACGGTGTTTGACGCCAAACTCCTCCGAACGGCTTGGCCATTTCTTATGAAGATTTCTGTGCATATTCGGTAGGTCTGAGAATCAGTCGTAAACGATTTTTCAAATTGAAAATTCAGAATGGCGGATACAATATGGCAGACGAGTTGTTCAAATATGATCCGATTCAGTTCAAAATTGGTATATAGGGGGTTTTCGGAGTCGGAGATAACAATTATTTCTTCAAAATTTGGAAATCCAAGATGGCGGATCCAATATGGCGGACAAGTTTCGAAATTATAGAATTGTATTCAAAATTGGTATCTGGGATTTTCGGGTCACAGATTAAGAAACTTTCGTCAAAATTGGGAAATTCAAGATGGCGGTTCCAATATGGCGGACGAGTTTTGTAATTATCCACAGATTCTATTCAAAATTGGTATTAGGGGGTTTTCGGGGTCGGAGATTATGATCATTTGGTCAAAATTGAGAAATTATCATATCCCATATCCCAATCGTAACGTAACCACCACTTTTTTTCCAATTTATAGAAAATATTTCTGATTATGGAAGAACGACTGCAGCCGAATGTCGCCAACACTTGAAAACATTATAATTTAAATGTATTTTCAAATGAATAAAGACGCTATTATTATTATCTTGAATTCCCATTTAAAAAACTGGTGTTGAAGTAAGTATACATAATCCACTCATGACAGGTAATATTCATAATTAAAAATTAGTGTAGGCATAAACAAAATATTGTCTTTTGTGATAGGCCCATATGAAACTCAAAATATTATTTTTTATGAAAGCAAGTAATCATAGTTTCGACCAGTGACCAGTGATGCCAGGTCTAAGGAAATGTCCCTAGTTCAAAGGACAAATATTCCTAAATTCATTTTTACTAGGGAAATAAGGGAAAATTCTTCGGATTTTTTCATCCCTTTCGTGACGACAATTCTATTTAATACTTTCACACTTACCGAAATAGGATATTTCAAAAACCAAAAACAGTTTTGTTCTATAAAAATTGTATTTATAAACGGATTGACCGTTACCCACGTGAACATGAGGCCAGAAGTCTCTCTTGTGTCTGGGGCCCGGGTCGACGTCGAGTTAGTCCGTTACCTACATGAACGATTGACCCCTACTGATATATACAAAAACATCAGTGTTAAAATTTATAACATAAAATAGCAGAACGCTGGCAGCACTGCAACTGGCGGAGCAGGCGGTGTCGCGGTATCAGGCAGTGTGTGTGATTCCCCGAACGATTCCAACTGGACTTCAAAGAAAAATCGATAAGTGACCAGTGTTGCCGCTATCTCTGAACCTATTTTGGCGACCAGAAATAGAACTTGGCGACAGGCGACTTATTGAGACGACTTGGGCTTCTGGGAGTGAGATGAGTATCGCGAGTCCAAATTCAATGGCTTTGTGGCTGAGGGCTTTACCATCCAAGTAGATTCGAGTCATCCGCACAGAGCGATATCCATTTGACGTTAGCAAGTGTTTTGTTTATATTATGTTTCTACACTCTACAGTATCATTCATAAAGTTGGCATCATATGGGAAAAATTTTTGATAATAATATATCATAAACATCTGATCTATTTTCATCAGGTAAATGTGTCTGAAATGTTTCAAACGCACAGAGAAAACATGTCAACAAAAACTTCAAAATCTCCGGAAAGTTCAAATGATTATAAGAACCAAAGGTACAATGATACGTATAACTTCTTCATTCTCTGGCCACAGAACTAATTTTGTCAAAAGAATCATAAACTCCGATACCGAAAACCCCCAAATACCAATTTTGAATAGAATAGGGTTATAATTACGAAAGTCTACCATATTGGATCCGTCATCTTCATTTTTCTGATTTTGACAAAAGAATCATATTCCCCGATACCGAAAACCCTCAGATACCTACCAATTTTGAAAATAATCGAATCATGAACAAAACTCGTCCGCCATATTGGATCCGATATCTTTATTTTTTGAATGTTGACAGAAGAATCATAAACTCCGAAACCGAAAACCCCCAAATACCAATTTTGAATAGAATAGGATTATTTTTTTTTATCGCTTAGAGCGCACGAGAGGGAATCTCTATAATGTTCAAAGAAATGTTCAAAGAACATCGTGTGTTCCTAGGAAGGATAGGAATAGGAGGTAGGTATTTGAATTTTTTTATAATTACGAAACTCTACCATATTGGATCCGTCATCTTTATTTTTCTGATTTTGACAAAAGAATCATATTCTCCGATACCGAAAACCCCCAGATACCAATTTTGAAAATATTCGGATCACAAGTACAAAACTCGTCTGCCATATTGGATCCACCATATTTAATTTCCTTATTCTGACGAAAGTATCATTATTTTCAATCCCGAAAACCACCCGATATACAGAGATTTTGAATAGAATCGGATCATAATTAGAAAACTCGTCTGCCTTATTGGATCCGCCATCTTGAATTTACAATTTAAAAAATAGTTTACAAAAATGCACAAAAATTTTCATAAGAATTGGTCAAGCCGTTTCGGAGGAGTTTGGTCACAAACACACTGTGCAAACACTGTGACAGAGAATCAATAATATATGTTAGATATAAACTATCGTATGACTTTCATTCTATGGTGCGGTCATCACAGGATGGGAATACTAGGTGGTAAATATAATAATGTGAAATATATCATTCCACTTATGAATTTCTACTACTACTAATTTGGCGACGTACTCTGATTAAATACTGGCAACACTGTAGGTGACTTTGTACCTGTTCCCTTAGTACAGCCACAAATATTATTCAGAGACATCTATTGATGAGGTTCCCTATTGATTGAATTAAATGTATCTAAAGGATTCTGTAGAAATAATACATGAAACTATAATTATGGCGCCACTAGACGGCTGTGATATATTTATAGTTTCACTGGTGTCTGTGGGCGAACTATTTCACTGTGATGCGCGCCCTTAAGACTAAACCACACTAAACTAAGAGGTAAGGGTATAGTATTTTGCAATAATATTTCTCTTATATAGAGATACGTATAGACGTGAACAACGACAAATAAGTAGTTTGATTTTTGCTTTAATTTACGTAATAGTAATGAATAAGAAATAAATGGGTCAATTTTATAATTTGTAAAAGACAATTGTTGAAGTTGTTGATATTATTATTGTTAATAATAACTAATACTGATGCAAAATTTCTCAATTCTCTATTCAAATGTACTTGAAATGAGTACCCGTGAAATTCGGGTACTTGTACTCGGAGTACTTTACTCTGAGTACATCCAATGAGTGGGGTACTCGGTACTCTGTACTCGTTCTTCAATTATAAACAGTACCCAATACCCGGTACTCGAGTACAATTTATCAGTACCCGGTACAGCTCTGATAATCATATAGACATGACGTTTCAATCGATATTTTTTCTAGACTCTCATTGTTATGTATCTATCTAACCTGCAGATTCATGTGAATCTTCGATTATTTTCAAAGAAAAAACAAAATAACACTAAGTCGGTCGACCACAAAGTTTTATTACAAAAATTGACTTTTTTTTCTTGAAGATGAAACTCCTTTGAGTGAATTAATTATTGTGCCAATGTTGAAACTAATGATAGTAAGGTTCTTTTGGCTGTTCAGTCGGTTCAAAAATTTCAACATTCCTTTACCGGACTGATTTTTGGCCAAATGACCACGACTCTTTAATATTTTCAATTTCATTTTATCATGTGTTTTCCACGTGGCCAGTCAAGGATGGATAGTTTCCATTACTATCGTTGTTCAGTTTATAATTCCAAATTTCATCCTGGTTTATTTGAGAAAGAAAAATCCAGAGCAGGAAAAATTCATGTTTTATTATTCTATCAAAAAAGTTCACTTTGTGATCACTTTTCTCGAAAAATTTCATCAGATTCAGAAAGATCAGGCAAAACGCCATTAGAACCGCTTTCCAACTTACACGGCACACTTTGACTGGTCCAATGAAAAAATATGAAACAAAACCGTTCCAATGAATTTTCAATTTCGACCTGGCTGATAACTCTTAACTTTCGACAGGATTCATGTAAATTGATTTCTTATACGATTTTGTTGGATAGAAATCGACAGAAAAGAATGGTTTAGGAGAAAAAACACAGTAGTTTTTTGATAATTTGGAATGTTTGTTTTTGATCGAAATTCTAGATAGATATTATTCGTGACTTTGTTACATGAATTTAAATTGAAGTAATAATGGCATAGTAGGAACTGTTTCCCTCTGTGTGACGTGGCGTTTGTTGATACTCCGAACTGATAGGTACCAACTGGTAAAATTACGGCTTGAGAAGTTCCATTGATTATAATTTATCAAATTAGTTATGCCACCACGAGTGAACTGCTGAGCTTCATTTGTTCTTCATACACTTCTGCAAGTGATGATGATGCATTTGCTCTTTCTTCAATATTCCCAATGTTCACCCTCATGAAGGTTTTACTGCTACATATTCTTGGTTCTGGAAATCTTTTACATTGCATCATCTGCTTTTTATTCATGTTCCGCATATGAAAAATGAAGTGGCTTCTTGAGGGTAAGAATATTTGGATTACCAGTGATTATCAACAAACGCCATGTCACAACGAAAAACATGGCCAAAATTCAATATAAATTTATAAAATAGAGTAATTACTAATAATAATAATATCTGTATAGAATTTCGATAAAAAACCAACATTTCAAATTATCAAAAAATCAGTTCCTACTATGTTTTTTTTTTCTCAAACACTTTTTTATATTCACAAAAATGTACAAAGAATCAATTCAAATAAATCCAGCTGAAAGTTGAGAGTTATCAGCCAGGTCGAAATTGAAAATGCATTCAAACGTTTTTGTTTCATAGTTTTTCATTGAACCGCTCAAAGTGTACCGTGCAAATTGAAGAGCAGTTTTGGTAGCATTTTGTCTGATCTTTCTGAATCTGATAACAATTCGAAAGAAGAGTGATAACAAGGTAAACAGATATTTTTTCCCAAGTCCAGATCTGCATTTTTTTATAATATGCCATTTTGAATAGTTCAAATAGAGAAACTTTGCTGCGAAATTTCAGCAAATTACGATGAATCATTTCTAAAATATCGGACATCAAAGTTATATGGTAATTTCGTTATGGAGGACACAAAAAAGAGGTTTCATATACAGGGTGACATAAAAAAAGTACATTGCAGTGCCACACAATAGAGGATACTAAAATAAAAAAAAGTTCCTATGAACATGGATCGGCAAGGCCTTGGGTTAAAAGATACGGGGTGTTGAATTAACATTTTTTGGGGTTTTCTTTGAATATATGTAGCCAGAGACGCAAGAAATGGATAAAATTTGGTATACAGGGGTTTTTTATCATGGTAAATTCAAATATGATCTTAGTTTTGTGATGACTGATAGAGGGCGCTACATACAGGGTTCCATCCCTATTGAATCGGTCGTAACTCTTTTGCTATACACTGTATGTCATTTTCGACGGAAAAAAATTGTTATCTCTTCTTTTATACTAAAGGTATACCTTGTCGAAGTCGCTAGAAACAATGGTTCCAGTACAAATACATCTAAAAGCCGACAATGCACGCAAATTATTCAAAAAGCGCCAAAGTAACTTTTGCAAAAACAATGATAAATGCTTCAACAATTACATTTTACTGGTATGATGAAAAATATGATTCATTAGAACAAAACATTTAGTTTTTAGAAGATGTTCAAATTGTTGCCCTTGTACTTCAATACATTTTTCCATTAAAATTCAACACCCCGTATCTTTTAACCGAAGGCCTTGCGGACGCATGTTCATAGGAACTTTTTTCCTTATGTTCGTGTCCTCTATTGTGTGGCACTATGCAATGTACTTTTTTCTATGTCACCCTGTATATACATCAACTCGACCTACGATGGTAGCTGTGGCGATAGGAATAAATTCTATTCTATTCATGTAATATTCATCGAAAATATACCCAATTTTGATTTATTGAAAAGTAATTTTAGTTTTACAATATCAAGTGATGAGAGGTAATCAACTCATTGTACTTTTGTAAAAATGTAGGAATATACTGTCTCTATCTCCTGACATATTCTGCTTATGAAATAATAAATCCGAAGAGGAAAAGTAAGGATGAAGAAAAAGTACTCTACACAACTAGAGGATCACAGCTTCGTGGGTAACGTGATGCGTGAAATGCGACTTAGAACTTTTGTTATGTTATACACTATCTTGCATATGCCGAGAAACGTATACATACATTTATTTGAAAAAAGACCAAAAAAATATTGAAGGAATAATACCTATATACAAACTTTGTGAGAAATGAATGACCAAAAAATATCTCATTAGAAGGTATACTTACAATAGAAAGTTAAGAAGAAAATAATCATCATTGCAATAGCCATAGCTATTGCATACTTGTAGTTCTGCAAAAACACAAATATCGGAGATCTCCCTGCAGCGCACATTTGTTTTTCTACATTTCCGGTGACTTTGACAATGATTTTTATATTTTGTTTTGTTAGGGGGGATGATACTATGATGCCCATAGCATCTTGCATGTCTGCTAACCTCCAATGGTAGTCAATGAGCTGAATTTCATATTTTCTTGAAGTTTCATTTATCGATTTTCCTTTATTCACATATAGAATGCTGCTATCAGCTGGATAAACCTGAAAAATAAATTATTCATCCAGACGTTCTTTCAGTTCTTTTTTCAATTTTCCTACTCCACTGATCACTTTTATTTAATTTACTAGATAGTATTTATATCTGTACTATACAGGGTGTTTCATAATTGAATGCTGATCCTAAAGGGCGATAATCCTTGGATGATTTTAAGGAAAATTCTTCATGTGAACATAGGTCCATAACAGCTTCGTTTCTGAGATACAGGATGTTGAAATTTAACAAAAAAATCAGTTATTCCCCAATATATCTGAAACCGCTCTCGCTTTTTGCTTCAATTTTGGTACATGCCAAGTATGAATAGAAATACATTTTTTCCATAACGAAGGATTTCTTAATTTCCACCAGTGGCGTCCCTGTTAACATACCCTGTCATATTTTTCATCAAAATAATAATATTATTATTATTTTTGTAATTATCCTCTATCTTCTCATAAAAATGGTCTCTTGTCTTTTTTTCGTCCGGCGAACGGTTTTTGAGTTAGAAAATAAAATGCATTCATTTGCTTGTCCCTATTCGATTTTTACTCTTAGTCATCATTTCACAATTGTGGTAACCAAAAGATCTAAGCAATATTTTAATAATTTTATGGTAACTATTTTTAAGTATTTGTAATGAAGAAAAAAGCCAGAGCGGTTTCAGAGATATTGGGGAATAACTGATTTTTTTGTTAAATTTCAACATCCTGTATCTCAGAAACGAAGCTGTTACGGACCTATGTTCACATGAAGAATTTTTCTTAAAATCATCCAAGGATTATCGCCCTTTAGGATCAGCATTCAATTATCAAACACCCTGTATAAAAAAGCATTAAAAGTACTGTATCGTCTTCCATATGACACCCCATCAAATCAACTTTATGAAGAAACAAAACCATTTTCTTTGTAAGAGCACTATCTGATAAATACTCTCAAAATTTCTTTTGACATTATCAACAAACACCTCAAATCTAACTTCATATTGGTAAGGAATTCTCAAATTCATGAACATCATACTAGACAATATGACTTGTTTCATCTTGATGCTGCTCATTCTACACTTGGTCAAAAAAAGTTCACTCACGGAGCTATCTCAAAATTCAATAAATTACCTGATGATATCAAAAGTTGCACAAATATCACCCAAAGAGAAAATCAAACCTCAGTGAATGATTTCTCATTGACTAATTTATTTCATCATGTCATAATGTACTTTTTCTAATTTTGACATGTAATGTGACACTTTTCAAAACTGACGGAAGTTTTGAAACGTCTTACTTTACGTAACCAGTTGCGTAAAGTAAAATTTTACATAACTGGTAATGTAATGTTCATTTCATTCATTCATTTCACACAACAAGAGTCGGCAGAACTCATGTAAAACTGGTCATTATTTTTGTTCATGCGAAATGTTTCGTAAAAATTAGAAAAAATATTGTACGTGACACGTTAGGAAACGCCATTTTGTGTAACTCTGTGATGTTGCGGGATCTCGCTTCGCTCGTCCCGCAAAATCCCATCGTTACACAAAACAACGCGTTTCCTAACTGATTACGTAAATATCTATTTCATGAGCTTTTTGTTTTATTTATTTTTTTCATATTCTGTTGTTTATTTCAATAACTATAATTTAATTTGATAACGCATGAATAATCTCATACCAGATATGAATCTGTCTGATTATTCATGTTATTCCATTGTAAATGTTAATGATTATATTTATATTTATATGAGATGCAATGTAATGTTTATAGCAAAGATTGAAATAAAGATTGAAATAAATATAAATATATTGTATAATATTTTTTCAATATCTAATCAAATTTTCTTGATAGAAATGATTTGCTTTTCTAGTTGAATGATTGTATGGTATTTTCAAATGAATGTCATCTCACATATTTCTAAATAATATGTGAAAATACTTTACAAACATCCTCAACATGAAAAACGATGTTAGCAAAATAATATGGTAAGGTTGAATCGAATTGATATTGTTACGATTTTACTCTGGGTCCGTAATAATTTAACACTCGGTAGAACACTTAAAACGATTTATTCTGAACACTACTATACAATAATAACAATACTCGTACTAAACACTTCCGATTCACAACACTTCTTCGATCGTTATTATAACGCTTCCAAATAAATACTTTTTTTCCTGTCCCTAACAACAACTATTTATACTACCTAATAAAACGTCTAGATTCCACTCGAAATATCGTGAACAGGTCGATAATCTTCTCGAGTCATCTCAATAGCCGTCGAATCACCTAATTACTTATTCCAAGAAATATGGCTTGTTTACATCCCGTTCCCGCAGGTAGCTGGGATCGATTGCCAGGGTCGTAACATTTACCCCCTTCTTCAAATTTGATCGTCCCGATCAAAAACAGAACTCTCCTCACAATGGTAGCGCTTCAGTCTTTCAAGATGAACGACTTTCATCTTTGTCCTAGGGCTGCGTTGGATTCTGTAGACCACATCGTTGATCCTTTTCAACACCGTATACGGTCCTTCCCAAGATGGTGTTAATTTGGGTGATACGCCTTTCTTCCGTCGAGGATTATACAGCCAAACTCGATCTCCTTCGAAGAATCCCTCTGAATTGGCTTTGAGATCGTACCGTGCCTTCATTTTGTCACTTGCTAATTTCAATCTCTTCCGAGCAGTCTCATGAGTTTTCATCAAGCCATTTCGGAGCTCATCTGCGTAGTCTTGTACTTCCTTTTCTTCAACACTTGGTGAACCGAACACCAAGTCACAAGGTAAGCGGAGTTCTCTTCCAAAGACTATACTAGCTGGAGTTAGCTTCGTTGAATCATGGACAGCTGCTCTATACGCCATCAGGAATAAGGGAAGATGCCTGTCCCAGTCCCTCTGATGCTCTTCGACTACTTTGGAAAGATGTTCTTCCATAGTTCGGTTGAATCTTTCGACCATGCCATCGGATCGTGGATGTAGTGGAGTTGTTCTCGTCTTACTGATTCCCATTAGATCACAGACCTTTTTGAATAAGTTCGACTCAAAATTTCTCCCTTGATCAGAATGTAATTCCATTGGTACTCCGAACCGTGAAAACATGTTGTCGACCAATATCCTGGCAACTGTGGAGGCTTCTTGGTTTGGCATGCCGTATGCTTCTACCCACTTACTGAAGTAGTCCATAGCAACCAAGATGTATTTATTTCCATCATCAGTCAAAGGGAATGGTCCGGCTACATCGATGGCGATCCTTTCAAACGGTGCACCCACATTGTATTGCTTCATTCCAGCTCTTGATCTCGTTCTAGGACCTTTACTGGCTTCGCATACAGGACATCTTCTACACCAACTTTCCACGTCGTCACGACATTGAACCCAGTAAAATCTTTCTCGAATTTTACTCAGTGTCTTGTTAACTCCGAAATGTCCACCAGATTTTCCGCCATGGACTTCTTCCAGAACTTCATTAACTCTGATGTGGGGCACAACCAGCTGAGAAATTGTTGATCTACCATCAGCTGATTCCCAAACTCGCTTCAATAATCCATTCTCCACAACTAGTGAGTCCCATTGTGCCCACATCGCCTTGAAAGCAGGCCCTCTATCCGAGATATCCTTCCATGTCGGTCTTTCTGTTCCTCTTTCTTTCCAACGTAGAAAATCGGCGATATTCGGATCGTTCTCCTGATCTCGTCTCATGTGTGCTGCTGTCCACTTATCATCGGTCACAAGTCTGGTTTTTCTAACATCAGCGGTTCCTTCTCGATGTTCAATGCGCAGACAATGCTTACAGGTTTCCGAACAAGGTCTTCTGGACATGGCATCTGCATTCTGGTGTAGTTTTCCTTTGATGTTCAGGCTATCAGTTGTTCTTCTTATCCTTTTGATGTTAATGACCCTGGGGGCTTCGTTATTACTAGCCAGCATGCGCCCCGATACGCTGGCTAGTTCTAGTTTTTCCTGGTATCTATCTGAGGACTCACTAGATGACCTAGTCCTCGCAGGTGAGTACGACCGTGATGGCGTCCTTGCAGGTGAAGAAGATCGTGGTGGTACTCTCACCTTACAGTCCCTTATCAGGTGTCCAGTTCTGCCACAGCGATAGCAGGATCTATTTCGCTGGTTACTAGACCCACTCTTAATTTCTTTGAGTTCCTCAAGCACTTTTCTCAACATTTTCGCCACTGGGTCCACGTCTTCGGAAGGCTCCTCGATAGACACAGCTCTCACTTTTGGCCTAGAGGTGTTGAAGGCCGCTTCTACCTCTAGAGATCTTACTAGGGCTTCACCACTCCTCTTAAAGTGTGTAAGCCTCAGAGTCTTCTGTATTTCTGAGTCTCTCAGCCCGTCGATGAATACCTGCACCGCCAGTTGTTCTTTGAAGTCCTCTGGTGCCTCTGGGTAGGCTAATTGAGTCAGTTTTCTCACATCTGCTTCGAACTCCTGTAGGCTCTCTCCAGACTTCTGCACACGATTTTTCATCTGAGCCCGGTAAAGCTGTTCTCGATGTTGGTCACCATACCTGAGTTCTAGCGCAGCCACTAAATCTCCGAAGTGGTTTTGTTGTTCCACTGGGATCGACTGTAACATCCCCAAAGCTGGTCCTCTCAGAGCTACAATGAGTGCAGTAGCTTTTTCCTCGTCACTCCACCCATTTGCACTTGCTGCAGCCTCAAATTGTCGGCGATACATAGACCAAGGCGACTGTCCATCAAAAGTTGGTGGTTTTACGGAAGAACCCGATGTGGCAACCCTGTCACGACGATCTTGACTTCGTAGCGAGGCGATCTGATTCGCTACATCTCTTTTGATTGTATCGAACATGGAATCTATTCTTGAAACTTCCTGGTTAAGCTTGTCGTCAATTTTGGTGAAATCTGTCTTCAACTCATCTATTTGTACATCAGTTTTATGCAGAATTTGTTCGAAGAAGATTTTCTGATGTTCTCGTTCTTTTTCTTGATGCTCTAGAATTTTCTGTAACTCTTCTTGACGACGTTGCTCTTCTTCTAATTTTTCTTCATGACGACGTTTCTCCTCCTCTTGTTTTTCTTTCTGTCGTCGTTCCTCTTGTTCCGCGAACTGATTTTGCATAAATTTCAAAATGTCTTCCATCGCGTCGTATGACGTACTCCTTGTATTCACCATACGTCTTCAAATGTCCTCGAAAAATCCACACTTCTGACACCACTGTTACGATTTTACTCTGGGTCCGTAATAATTTAACACTCGGTAGAACACTTAAAACGATTTATTCTGAACACTACTATACAATAATAACAATACTCGTACTAAACACTTCCGATTCACAACACTTCTTCGATCGTTATTATAACGCTTCCAAATAAAGACTTTTTTTCCTGTCCCTAACAACAACTATTTATACTACCTAATAAAACGTCTAGATTCCACTCGAAATATCGTGAACAGGTCGATAATCTTCTCGAGTCATCTCAATAGCCGTCGAATCACCTAATTACTTATTCCAAGAAATATGGCTTGTTTACATCCCGTTCCCGCAGGTAGCTGGGATCGATTGCCAGGGTCGTAACAATATTATCTTTTTAGAAATCTCCAATTAGACTACTAAATTTTATGACGAAGAGAATATATTGAAGAAAAATAATATTTATATTTGTTTTGCTTGTTATCTGAATATTATTTGATATGTAGCACTGAAATTATATCTTACCTCAATTTGCTCCAGAACTTCGAGCAGTCCTACAACTATTAATTCTCCAGTAAAACTATTTTCACTCAAAGTTATTTCTCTGGCAGTAAAAACGCCGGGTAAGAACCTGATGTTCAACTTTCTGGATGTTACTTCACCATCATCAGTAGTAGCCCAAAGAATAATGGATGTTTTCAATATAGCAATGTCCGTTCCATTAATTCCCAAATTAATAAGTTTACAAGCATACTGACCTGAAAAGGTGTCAATTTATACTGTATATATAGGAGCAAAGCAAAATCGAATGATTATCTTGCACGACACAGTAAATGTTCAAGTGATATAAAAAACAAACCAAATACAAACATATAGCCAAAATATCACAATAATATTTAGAAAAGCCTAACTAGGTAAGCATTTAGTCAACCAAGTTGCTATACTCAGTAGAACTGAAAAGAAGATAAACATTAGCTGACTATACTCTATAGTAAATACTGTCTGCAGATTTTTTTATTTTCATGTAACAACATGAAAACCTAAGAAAAATTCAATCAGCGCCATTTTGTTCTGAAAAATGTTTGAAGAATAGCGTGACTCACTTTGAACGGACCCCCTCCTAGTTTTATTAGTCATGCGATTCTGACCAAATTAGGACTGGTGTGAATAACCAGCAAAATGATCAGTTTTTCAGAGATAAACTTCATTATGGACAGTGCCCTGTATTTTTATTGAAATTAAAAAGTGCCGATTTTTTATGAAATCATATTTGGAATTGTTCTACAGAAAAACAAATCTCACAGTATTTTCATATAATTTTTGGAGTTTTTGAAAAACAGGCATTTACTCTCGAAACACAACAGAGTGAGCTAGTTGTAGGAGTTGATCTACAAACGAAGCGCACTCATTCCATTTCATTTCATTGTATACTCTGTAATATGATTGATCAGCGAGGGTTGCTGGGCTGTGTGCACGTGAATATATACCAAAGAAGGGAAGATTTGTATTTCGTGCAAAATAATTATTTTGCACGAAATACAAATCTTCCCTTCTCTGGTATATGATTGATTGTCAAGAACTCTCGAAACACAACAGAGTGAGCTAGTCCCAAGAATCATTGATCTACAAACGAAGAGCACTCATTCCATTCAGTTTTATTGTATACTCTGTATTATGATTGATTGCCTGCCAAGAGTGACATAATTGAAAATTATAATCGTCAGATTAATTGCATGTTTCAATAAATAGTCTGTTGGTTAACACATCATTTCTTTGATCCACGTATCCTTTCAATACTTGTCTCAATTTTCTTTAGAGTTCTACGGAGGATCACAACTTAGTTGCTGAAATGAGTATTTAGGATTTTTAATTTTCCTTTTGCATTCCCTTGTTGGTCCCAGCACTGCACTTGTATTGGACTTACTTTATAAAAAACTATAATGAATAATGACGAAAAAAATATTTGTATAATTATGAATAACAATGTTTCTTGGGGTGCTCAAGACAATTGAATCAAATATGGTTACGTTCAGCCCTATTATCAACAGCAATTGGCCATCGGGAATAAACAAAAGAATTCATTAACATGAATTGTTTTATATTCAGGAAATGATTTATCAACTTTGTCGAATCTGTTTTTGTTACTTTCTCGATACAACTTATTCTGATCCACTATTGAACATTACTAATTTTTTCGAATTTTTCTGAAAGGTATCTTGATATTGTAATTGGCCAAAGCAAAACTTTTTTCTTTTTGGGCACCTGACCGACTATTGCTCCGCCACTGATCAATTATTAAATTTGTGCCTCTATATGAATATTTGAATATAACAAATATTGCTAAGAAATTCCGAATCTCAACTTCATCACTTACCAGTCTCCGGAACCCAGCTAGTGGTTACATTGAACAGTTGATCGGCAGAAATAGAAAGTGTATTATTGGAAAGTTCCACGAAGCATATGAAGCCAGAAGGTCTCACCAACTTTCTGACATCAGTTCTGCACCTCCAACCTTGAATCTATGCGAAATGTCCAATTAAAAGATGATTGATTCGGAAGAAATTGATAATATATTTTTGATATGAAATTGATTATATATCTTTTGGGGCACACGAAAAAACATCATGCGTACCTAGGGAGGATGGGTAGAGGAGGTAGGTACTGGATTTTTTTTCAACTTTTTCAAAAAATATGATGGTGCTGATGGTGCTTAGAAAGGAACCGAAAACGCCCTCAACCTGCTATCATTGCACACTGGACTGGCACTTGGCAGGTAACTGGGTGGCTAACCAACCCGCTTTTTTGTCATCCAGCTGGTCGAACGATATTTACACTTCTCATGTATATTTTTATTTATACAGCGGGTGTTAACGTATCCATTAGATACGTGATAACTTCTGGGAGTATCAAAATAACATTTTGTATATAGGTAAATAATATGTGGAGAGGAGTTTTCACATATTTTTAAATTTCCGGTAAATTCCGGTGTAACCGGACATGAATATTGTGACATTTTTTTATTTCTGAGACAATTCTGGTTCAGAATGTAACATCTTGAAAAGTTTTTACTCCTCATCAATTTTTTAATAGTCACTTCTGATATTGCAAAAAGTTGAGTAACTTTCACTGTCTGCTCATAAGATGTATGTCACTGTCATTATCTAAGTGAATGTTTTGTTTTCTAAAGATAACTTAGTAAATATAACTTCAAATTATTATGCGTCATAGCAATCCATGGCACACTTGAGTTTTTTTTAATATCTTAGGAAGGAAATTCGTGCGTACCTAGTGGAACTTTTTTTTATCTATTTAATCCAATCGCAAATAAATTAATATCGGTAGATTCGTCAAATAATCCTCTTCTCGAAAAGTGCTTGTCAAAAATGGTCGCCATTTGAAAAATAATAATTAGACACGAAAATGTAATGTTGCCAAATTGTTCTTTAATTATCTATCATAATAATTACTGAAACTTTGCGATTGTAATTTTTTGACAAGAAATGATGCCCTAAGATTAGTTTACGTCCGATCACGGCTACCTAGATGCAATATTAAAAGTGACAGAAAAAATTTAGTATGCGTAAAAACTATTGAATATTATCACATCTTGATCAGGAATTATCTTAGAAGTTTAAATATGTTACAATATACAGGGTATTGCATTTAAAGATTCAACACCTTCAAGACATAGCGCATTAAGGAAGGTCACGTGCCACTCATATATTGAAAATACTTTTTTCTAATTTTAACATGTAATTTGACACTTTTTAAAACTGACGGAAGTTTTGAAACGTCTTACTTTATGTAACCAGTTGCATAAAAAAATAATACATAACTTGTGATGAAATTTTCAATTCAACACCAGTTATGAAATTAAAATATTGATGGGTGACGAGAATAGTGACTTTTGTGCTGCTTCCTTGTTATAATATTGTGGGAAATCTGAACTTGAATCAACCATTTTCCACTAATGAAAATATCAATCGAGTATATTCTGTGAATTTCATCGCTGATTTGTGACCGTATTATTGTTTGACAGATACTTCAAAGTGACGGACTAAGTAAACTTGCCATGTAGAACTGGCCATTATTTGTGTTCAAGCTGAATGCGTCATCAAAATTAGAAAAATGATTGTACGTAACTAGTTAGGAAACGCATTTTCTCCCTAACTGGTTACGTAAATATCAAATATTTTATTGACGGAAGAATTAATGGACTTGATCGACTCACCAAATTATTGGTTTTTATGCCAATAGTCTTCTCACTCTGCAACACCAACACAACCCTCACGAGACTATCGACCACTCCGTTGGTCAAAATGAGGTTGGGATCGTCGAAGAACTCTATCTCGGTGACGGGGTTCACCTAGATACGAAACACTCTTTCACTTTTTATTGTGCATTTCATTGTAAACCAGTTCATTTACTCTGCATGTCAATGGTTGCCATTTAAAGTGTTTCATGAAATTGAAGATACATAAAATATGTTTTTCCACCACTAGCTATAAAACCTACCATTATTTACTCCTTTTTGAGGCGTAAAGTGTGTTTTTACAACTAAGCTAGTTTTGGTCATTTTATTAACCACTAGTCAATAAAGACATAGTCACCTCTGTTATAATTAACCCGCATTCACTGTTCTGAACAAATATTCGCAGGAATGGCACTCGAATAGAGTAGGTATTTATCAATAACGACTTCCTGTCTGGATGTAATCTAGAGTCGCTCCTTCAGAACGATGTGCTCTTGCAGATCATGTCAATAAAATGAATCATCGTATGGACTATGATTCAGCAAGAATTTTAGCAATTGAAAGTAACTGTAGTATTTCATATAAATGACTAATGTTCGATATCTTATCATGTCAATGATTAATCTGAATAAATCACCGAATGTGACGTTGGGCCGTTAGGTAACATCAGCACAAGAAGGCAGTTGTGATCGGACGGTCGGGCGGAGTGTAAGGTGTCATCGAGTACAAAAGTGTTTTATTGATATTCACCCTATACCTCATAAGTGACAGACATTACATTGGCGACGAGGATTAAACAATCGGTTAGTGAGTACCTGACAGATATTTGATAAATACTTGAATACAGTGCTGGTATGCAGTAAAAAACTGAGCAAATTAAATCCAGGGCAGACAGAAAAACAAATAAAGTAAAACTTCGATGTCATAGACACGAAGTCATGATTCGAAAAATCATGTATAGAAATGAGAAATAAAACAAATTCATAGATGTGATACGAGAATATATTCAGTTTTTATGTTCGTCATACCTACAGTTGTTATACCATCATATTATTCTGATGTTTAACTCGTATTAAACCTAGAGGAATTTGAAAATCTCAGGCGGCTAAAGTCTGAGTCGTGGTTCGGAGTCCACGTAAATAGGAAGCCCCGTCGGATTCGTTGAAAAGCCCTGGTGACGAAAGACGACGTTAATATCGGTCGATCAGTGAAATCGAATGAACATAAACGAACGAATTTGAGAGAAAAGTCCTTCGTTTGTGCTCTGGTTAGTCTATATTCTGTAAGTTGTGATATGATTAATTTTGGTGAACTCAACTTATCGTTGATTCGTTCACTAGAACGGATTCTGACAGGTGTTAGAGTAAAATAATTAATAAATTAATAAATAGTTATATAAATGTAACTGTTACAGGATGTGAGTCAGATAGCAGAAGTGACACAGTTGCATTCGATACCCTGTTTGAGTGTGGATAAATAGATATTAATTCAAATTATTCGTGTTTCAATAGTCATCCTGACACAGGACATTTCTCTCAAATTAATAAGCAGCGATAACTCAATGATAATTTTGAATGAACCTGTTTACACAGGAGACCATACGGTGATATGGCGAACATACCAGCACTAGAAAATTTCGATTGTGAAGGAGATCCGAGCTCAGTGGGTCAAAGGTGGGAAAAATGGAAAAGGGCATTCGAAATTTTTGCTCTGGCATCGAATATACAACAACCTCAACAAAAAAGGGCAACTCTTCTACATGCTGGAGGCATGGGCCTCCAAGAAATATATTACAATATACCAGGTGCACACATTGAGGGTTCGGAGGAAGTTGACGTATTCGCAGTGGCTATTCAGAAATTGAATGAATATTTTTGTCCAAAACAGAGCAGTCTTTACGAAAGATACATTTTTAGACAAATAAGGCAAGAACAAGATGAGAAATTTGACAAATTTCTAGTAAGACTTAGAATTCAAGCGAACAAATGTAAATTTACAAATTTAGAAGAACATTTAATAGATCAAATTGTTGAAAAGTGTTATTCTAACGAATTGCGAAAAAAAATTCTTAGTCTAGGGGAAGATGTAAAACTTGATAAAATAATGTTAGAAGCTAACGCTTTAGAAACCGTTAACAGGGAGTTGGACGAATTTGAAGGAAAAAACAAAGGGGTCTTTCAAACAGTTAACAAAATTCAAAGTGTCAAAAACCCTGGTAATTTTACTAATCATCCATGTTCTAGATGTGGTTACGAAGGTCATAAGCCGCATGACGAAAGTTGCCCAGCAAAAAATAAGAGGTGTTTGAAATGTGGCATAATGGGACATTTTGGGAAGTGTTGTAGATCGGGACGAAATAAAAGGGGTCCTCAAACAGAGAGGGGTCCACCTCCGAAGAGAAGGAAACAATTCAGTAAAGTTAAACACGAAGAAAGTGTAGATTATGTATTTCATATCGACGATGATTGCTTGATTCACTGTTCCATCGGGGGTATTCAAATTGAAATGATAATTGATTCAGGAAGCAAAAGTAATCTTTTGGATGAAAAAACCTGGGAAATGTTGAAACAAAACAAAATCACAGTTTGGGATCAAGTAAGGAGACCTGACAAAACGTTTATGGCATACGCTAGTAGAGATCCGCTAGAGGTTTTAGGTTCTTTTAAGGCAAATATTTCTGTAGGCAAGTCTACAGAGTGCGCTACTTTTTATGTGATCAAACAAGGAACAAAAAATCTTTTGGGAAGATCTACAGCGATAGCATTAGGAATTTTAAGAATAGGGGTAGAAGTAAACTCAATCGATCAGTTTCCCAAATTCAAAGACGTCGTAGTTGACATACCTATTGATGAAACAGTGAAACCAGTATGTCAGCCTTACAGAAGGTGTAACGAAGTTACTATAATTTGGGAATTGTAGATGAGACATACGGTATAGGTAATGAGAGTAAAATCGAACTCAGGTGAAAAGTAAGCTATCGGCTCCGTTCTTTTTCATAAGTGTATTGTTGATAGTCAACAATACACCAGGAATATTACTGCATTAAGCGAATGCAGTTTCGATTAGGTAAAACGAGATTCGATAATCTACTAGGCGTTGCATTTTAATCAAATCAGTATATCATCCGAGTGTTCGTACAGCGGGCGCGATAGCAGACCGCGCTCCCCACTCTCAGAGAAGGGTAGTGGGAATCTCCGCTCGCGAGGCGACGAGTTTCAGATAGAAATTTAAAAGAACAGTTTAGCTTGTGCGCTCAGCCGGCTAAGCTCGAAGATCCGGACCAGCTACCAGCGAGCCAGCCCCACCAAGAAGAAGCCCGAAGCCAGCCGACCAGAAGACGGTACCTAGACCGAAGATCGTGCCGGGACCGTAATAGCGGGACAGTCCGCCTAGAGAAGTCGTCCGAGGTGTCACGCCGTACCAGGCTAAATAGGCGCGTAAGGGAATTTTGTAACCTATTAATTTGTTTTCTTACAGCTGGGAATCCTGAAAGGGAACTAAGTGTGTGTTCACCTGTTCCCGACTAAGGAGTTCTTTTCCAGTGCACGATAGATGACGTGCGTGCACTGTCTAACGATCTAAGAGTGCCGTATCACCTGATCGTTAGATTTATCGGGTGTTAGAGTATTACAGCGATCTAAGAGTGCCGTATCACCTGATCGTTATTTTTCGGATGTTAGGATATTTTCCAGTGCACGATAGATGACGTGCGTGCCCTGTCTAACGATCTAAGAGTGCCGTATCACCTGATCGTTAGATTTATCGGGTGTTAGAGTATTAAAGCGATCTAAGAGTGCCGTATCACCTGATCGTTAGATTTATCGGGTGTTAGAGTATTAAAACGATCTAAGAGTGACGTATCACCTGATCATTACCTTTAGGCTGTGTATATATTTTGCATTTAGAGCTTGTTGCTAGTTTTGCTTTGAGCGTGGATTTTTGCAATATGGTTTGGGTATTGCTTACGTGTTTTGATATGGGCTTTAGTTTTAATGAGCTTTATGCATGGCAAGTGTGAATCACGTTGAGTATTTACTTCGAAAGCCGTATGTCTCAGTAGGAGGGAATCATAGCATTTTAAGCCAGTGCTTCAAGTAGGCACATGTACATATTTAGTCACTAGTAGTTTCCTGTTGTAAATATTAATTAAATAAAGCTGTATATATTAATTGACTTTTCTTTCTATATATTAGTTTTGGGACACCTCTTCATCCGGGAGTAAATTCTATCAAGTCTCAAGTCACTTTGACAGTTGTATTCATCAGACCCCTGGATTAAACTTTCTCCACTGAAAGTTACCTGGTGCAAGTGGACCTACCACTATAAAATAGGTGGCGCCCGAGTATATTAGTTGAAAACCCGAGTGACGGCGCTAAATAACCAATCTCAGAGTAAATAACCTTACAAATTTGGCGCCCGAGCAGGGACCGAGTTAAACCGAGTTGAACCAAGTTAAACCGAGTTAAACCGAGTTGAACCGAGTTAAACCGAGTTAAACCGAGTTGAACCAGGGTTAAGCTATTCGTGAAGTGAACTTTCATGAGTTGGTTTTCGAAAATCTGAGTATCAAGTGTTGCATTTTTTTTTGGTTGCTATGATCACTCTGTCTCGGGGCATACGGCAAGCGAATCTTGTTACCCTAGCATATATTTAGTCACGGTAGAGAGTGTACGGCCACATTGTTTTAGAATAAAATCAAGACCTGTCACTTTGACAGCTGTCCAGATAAAGACTTTGAGTCATGTGGCACATCAATCTTTAGGTTTTTAGGGACGAGAAACCCGTTTAAAACATTCCCGAGCTGGCACGAACGTTCATTCACGGGATATCCGAGTTCAACCGAAGACCGACCGGAATTATTTGAACTGGGACATCAGCAAAAACGATTGAGGATTCTTGCTCGAGACACTGAAGGAGTCAGACGTGCCGATAAACCGTATATCGTAAACTGCTGGTAGACCGAACATGACGAACGAAGATATTACGAAGGCTCCAGAATCCGCAGAAGGACAGAGTTCACCGCCGAAGAACAAAGAGCCTGTAGATGTCCGGGTGAGCTGGGTATATCAGCTGAAGAAAGCTGATATAGACGTAGAACTGTCTAAGTTCGGCCT